GGGCTGTTACTGTGCCATGTGCATGGTGCACGGGTGGATTCGCCAGCTGCATCACTGTAGCATGCCATACAATAATGTAGTAGGTCACTGTGTTGCCATAGGACATTGTATAGATGCGCCCACAGCATACTAACTAGATACTCTTTGGGTATGTCTACATATGAAATTAACATGCATGAATAAACTCTGGAGCTTATTACTCCAGAGTTTATTGCTTTCAGGTGCCACTTCTTCATGTGTGCCTGGAACCACAGCATGTTGAGCCAGGTTGGAGCAGCCCCGGTTGGCAGGTGGTCCAGGGGGTCAGCCTGCCAGCCCAGGGCTGCTCCCCCTGGCCCAGTGTGTGACAGAGGGGCTGGCTGGAGCACGAGGTTGCTTCAGTGTGGAGCTAGTCGGCAGGCAGCCCATGCACTGAAGTACCTTTTTGCCCCAGTCAACTGGGGCAGTGTCTAAACATGGGCCACCGTGGATTAAGAAAATCCACAGCAGGATAGAACTGGTATTGACAAGTACTATTCTGCTGCAGAATAAACTAATTTACTCTAGTTTAAAAGGAGCACATGTGTAGATGCTCAGTGTTTACTGTGCAGCTTATTAGTCTACTGCACAGTAAACAGCTCATGTAGATGTGCCCTGTGGTAATGATTATGATGCTTTAAGTTTGATACCTGTTTATATGATAATTACTTTGGGATCCATTACATGAGCTAGCAACAGTTAGGGTTTGGAGGTTTTTTTCACTTGTGATAAATATTTATTGTGAGATTAGCTCTGTTCCTTGATCGCAAACCAATTTTTTTTTAATAATGTGATATTCCTGAGTATTTAGTGAATGCTTTTATGCCAGTGAATTTTGCTTCATGGGCTGCTTGCAAACTGTTTGCTTCAATGATATGGTAATCTACAATGTTATATAATTCATGTGGAGTTGCTCCACTTCTGGTGGGATATCCAAATGTTTTAAATTAGAGAGTAACAGTAACTCACTTCTAAGTAGGGATAGCTGGATCCTTAATCCTGTGCACTACAATTCCTGAAACTCTGAGATTTACATTTTTTTTATGAATGTCAGTCTTCTGAATCCTCATGATTAAGATGATCTGAAAAATTGTATTTCTAAGTACTGCAGTAGCTCTATGTACCAATATTTGATTATATTAGGTACTATACAGACATAGAACAAAAACTCTTCTCTCCCCAAAGAATTTACTGTCCGGAGAGCTCACCACTGGTGATTTGGAATAACTGGCAAACATTATTGGATTTATCCTCACAGTGCCCCTGAGATCAGCAAGCATTATCATCATCATTCTTCATACACAAATGTGAGGCATAGATACATCATGGTGTGTTTCAGCCAGGAAGTGTGCTGTGCAGAGCTGGGATTTGAAAGCCAAGGTGAAATCCCACGACCCTACTGAAGTCAGAAGTTTTGAGTTCTGATCATTATTATACACACCTGTTGATAGGAACTTATCTTTCATGCATAGTGCTGATAAAAAAGATAAGTTCTTATCTACAGGTATGTAGTCATGATCAGAATTAATCCAAATTCTAGAAATGTTTGCTCATGCATTGCTATTTTTGTAACTTAACGTAAATCTAGTTTAAGCAGAAGGCAACCTTCAAAATATTAGTTTCACAGATAGTCAGAGCGAAACCAGTTTTGAAGTGCATTGTTACAGCATCTCTTGGTTCAGAGATGATACCTTTTATGAGACCAACTCAAAAATCACAACAAAAATACCTTTTTCTGCAAGCTTTCGGGCTCACACGCCCTTCCTCAGGCTCAGGGAAAATTAAAGATGGTAAAAAGTCCCCATAGGTAGGAAATAAACTTCATTTTTGCACAGAAGCTGAAGATGGAAGACCATACCTCTGGGTCCATGAGAGTGTCTTTGTGAGTTGCTATTTGTTGTGCAGATAAGGCACATGGCAAATGGCAACCAGATAGGCAGGTATAGAAACCTTTCTTGTTGTTCAGCAATGAAGTTAAATCCAAAATCGGCTAAAATTCAGCATCTTCAATGTTTTGGGGATGTATTTGGTAGTTGTGTTAGTCTGAGACGAAAAGAAATGCAAAACTCTAATAAAAGGTATAATTTCTGAACTAAGAATTGTACAGTTTTGCATTTCTTTTTGTCTCAGATCAACATGGCTACCAAATACATCCCTTGTCACTTGCACCTAATAAAATGTAAGTATGAAGAATTTTGTTGTGTTGGACTAATAGTTTCCTTTGCAGGTTTATCCTTCTAAACTAAACGTTTGCTGTAACTTTTGTGTGTAAGTTTGCCTCATTCTATAATGGTCAACACATTCATTCAGTTGTTTTACAGGCAGATCCTGAAGTTGTAAGGGAAATGGCTGCAGTACATTTTCTCAGTAGAATGAATTCAATTCTCACTACCATTTTTATGCTTTTAAGGATTAAAAACAAAAGACCAGAGCTAAATTACAGTTGTGTGAAGTCTAATTTTATTTTAGGGACACTGATATTCTTCCAGTGGGTAAATGAGGTTAAGGGGAATAACTGGTATTGTAAAAGTATTTTAAAACATGATCATAGACTCATAGAAAGTAAGGGTTGGAAGGGACCTCAGGAGGTCATCTAGTCCAACCCCCTGCTCAAAGCAGGACTATTCCCAACTAGATCATTCCAGCCAAAGCTTTGCTGAGCTGGGCATTAAAACCTCCAAGGATGGAGAGTCCACCACACCTCTAGGTAAGAGAAAATGATGCATATTTGTAGTGGAATATAATGAATAGGTTTCCTGGTTTGGAGGGCTCAGCCTTATCTTTCATAATAAATTTAATCTGATCAGTACTTGCTGATAATGTAGTGCCATCAGCCATGAAGGTGGCCTGAGCTATGACTTTAAGGCTTCTGAATAAGTTCTTTTCCTTAGGAAGCTGGCATAGTGATATAGATGTCTTCTGTGGATTAGAGATCTGATGAGATCTGGTGCTCTCGAGAGAGTTTCTCTTACAAAGTGGAATCTGAGTAGGGATCAGAATGTGAGCTAATGCTTTGTTTCATTTCAAATGCTGTAGGTCTGGAGTGCATTTAAAGGATTATTGGGTGCAGGCTTCCTTTGGGAGGAATAGGAAGAATCAAAAAATGTAAGAGGTAAAATTAAGCAACCAGGGAGCAGGGGCATGAACACAATAAAAGAGAAATATACCTCATGGAACGGGAGAAGTGAGGGGCAGGAGAGTGTAAGTCTAATAAGAAAAGATACTCTATTGTTAAAACTTTCAGAACAGCTGAAGTGATTTAGCCATAAATTTTCTAGTCAAAGTAATGGAAGAGCCATGAGGTAGTTCCTTAAACAGCTAAAGCATCATGTTTTTGACAAGCATTTTCCCAGATTAAGAAAAAACACCATTTCCTTTTTGCAAGGAAAAAAATAAAATCTGAATCAACCCCTCACAGGTATTTGAGTGCAGCACAAGAATAGCAAAGAAGCCTTTTTTTTTTCCTTTTAACAAATCATGTATAGGATAACTCTTGCCAGTGACAAAGTCACAATTCTCTTAAACCTTAAAGGGCTACAGCTGTCTTCAAGGTCTCTTTTTGTTTCTGTGGAAAAAAATCATGAATTGCAACACTTTGTTTTATCAAATAGTGATGATAAGACACTCCTGCTGTCTTAACGTATTGTAAGTTTCACAATAACTTGTTTTAGTTCTAGAAAGGCTAAAGGGAAAGAAGCAAAGATGACATCGCAAAAACTCAGGAAAACCATGTCTGAACTCAGGCACATTGCATATGGTGGATGCTTTATAGTTTAGATTTATTATGACAAGCAATAACACATTAAGGTATGCATTTGACAGAAAATGCATGTTGCAGTCCCAGCTGATTGAACATAACTGATAGAGAATTACAGTTAAAATGATAAGTGCTAGTTAGCTAAACATGACACTATTTATTTTTTTTAAGAGAGATTGGTATTTAATTTGCTGAAAAATAGAGGAGGGAAAAAGAGAAATATGAAGTGAGTTGTCTCTATAGAACGCCACTGCTGGCTTGCCCAGCGGAGCTCATCTGCCTTTGCTGTGTGAACTGTGGAGCTTGTGACCTCCCATATCTTTGTAAAAAGGTTGTTTCTAATATAAACCACAGAGTCCTCTGTTGCATACATTTCTACAAGATTGCTGAGGGTTTAAACTACCAGGAAAAATCAAGACCCAGAGTTGAATAAATGCTGGAAATATTTTTTCTCTCCCAGTAATATTCATGTTTTTAACTTTGTGCCCCTTTTGCATGAGGCTTATCATGAAAGTTCACAGAAAATCAATTTGAAGCATTTAACGGCTTGCAAAACATGCATGTAAATTTTGCTTTTCATGAGCATCCACACTACAAATCTAATTGGAGGAGTGTAGCTCTTACAGTTGAGGAATATAGTTTCATAGCTGTCAGGGGTGGAAGGGACCTTACAGATCATAGGGTCCAGCCCCCTGCACTTGGGCAGGAAAGACTGCTGGGGTCAGATGACCCCAGCAAGATGGGCATCAAGACATTTTTTGCAGATCGCCAGTAACAACATTGTGTAACTCATGACCAGTTGTAGATATATAAACAGACAATACTGGATTTTGAGCACCATGGACTGCAGTGTTACCAACCCAAGGATTCCAAAATCACCAAACTGCCAAACAGACTCTCTAAAAATCATGAGATTACAACATATAATCAATCTGTTTTCTAAGGTACATTCTGGACTTTCAGGTTTCAGGATGTTTGAGTTACATTTTCACCTAAAGAGGAATCTAAATGATGAAATTGTGAGATCTGTCAACTTTTGTAATGAGTATTACACAAAGTAAAATACACAAAAATAAAAATAAAATATACAAAATAAAAATAGTCAGATAACTTTGACTACCAAGTACCTTCTGAGAGAATCCTGATTTTTCATATTTATTCCACGAACAAAATATCAAAAAAGAAGCAGAACTCCAAATACATCATCTATCAATTATTTGCTAAGCAACCTACATGTTTCAACTCAAAGCTTTTACCAATGTGACAAGAGAGTGAGAGATTGTAATCTAGTGATTTGATCTATCCTTGTAGGCATTTTGTACTGAGCACTGGGATTTTGATTCAGACATTATGTATATTCCTCTCTGCTAGTTTTGGATTTAGTCTTGGTAATGACAATAATTTGCAGGAACCTGTAGTTACAGTGTTACATTCAAGATAAGCATGTTGTATAGTTTACTGCAGGAAAGTATATGTTCTCTAATTAAACGTGCAGCCAGTTATGCTTCCCAGTTATGTTCTCTGTCCTTTTCTCTCTCACACCTTTTTCCCCTCTTTGCTTATTTTCTTTTGACCTTACCTCACAGGTGGTGAGTGAGGTAAGTGCCACCCTCCAGAGTTTCTGTTTCTTGTCAGAAGGACATAGATCGTCTCCTCTTCCTGGTAGCATCCTCCCCATAAATAAAATAGGATAAGGAATAGCTTAGCCTAGTGTCCATAGTGTCAGAACTGCTCCTGACACTGTGAGCTTTCACTTGTGAATATATGCACCTTGTCATAGCTCTACGCATATAGCAGTCAAAGAAGTAGTAGATGAAAGGGTTGGCACAGCTGTTGGCAAAGGCTAAGGGGCCGCTCACCTGCATACCGATCTGGGCAACCTTGTAAGGAAAACAGAATAGCGGGTTTGGGTGCTGGAGCCGAGAGATGTTGGCTAGCAGCTTGAAAAGGTTGAAAGGGATCCAGGAGACAACAAAGGCAGCCACTACAATGAAGACAGTCTTGATGGATTTCCTTAGCTTCCTGTTGTGTTTTCCAGATTTCTGATAATGCATGCAGAGCTTCCTTGTCACAGAGCAGTAGAAGGTCAAGATGCACAGCAAGGGGAAAAAGAAGGCCAGAATCAAAATTATCAGTGATGTGATCCACTTCATGGGCATCTGCTCGCTGTCTGTGCAATAAGACTGGCCAGTGTCTTCATCTAGCACCAGTTGTCTAGTCAGGAGTGTTGGCAGCCCCAGGAAGCCAGATAGCACCCAGATGCAGATGCACATTCCAATGGAATTGAATCTTGTTCTCACTTTTCTGGCAACAGAGGGGTGCATGATGGCCAGGTACCGGTCAGTGCTCATGCAAGTGAGGAGCAGGGTACTGCAATACATGTTGACCGAAATAACATAGGAACTTCCCTTGCAGAGAAAGGAGCCTGACCTCCAGTTGCCCCCTGACTTCTCCTTGTCTACCCAGAGCGGCAGTGTAATAAGGAAGACAAAGTCAGAGGCAGCTAAATTGGCAATGAAGATGTCAATCAGCCTCTGAATTCCTCGTCTGAAGAGGGCTGCTATCAGGATGGAATTGCCAATAATTCCCACAACAAAGACGATGGCATATAGCAGAGGAAGGAAAATGTTCGCATATAGCACAGGCTCAGCCTGGCAGCTTTCCTCAGGACTCTCGGTGGGAAGGCTGTAATCATAAGCATAGCTGGTCCCAGTCATCATAGGGTAAAGATATTCAGAGTCCATCTCTGGCGTAGTTGTCTCCAGCCTTATTCTTATTGCAGGGGACATAGCAGAGCTCTTGTAAGAAACAACTTAAATACCACCAATATTCACAATCTGTGTGCTCTTAACCAATCGTGTAAGTTGAGGTAGGTGAGCAACGGAAGCATCTTTGTCTAATCCAGTCAAGTCAGGAGTTTGCTTAGCAGTTGGTTGGGGGCGGGGGGGAAGAGGTGTGTGCATGTGTGTGTGAAATATGATTGGCTTCAATGATTTTTATCTTCATTTTGCATTTTCATTTGACCAGAAAGACAACTTTCTGCATTTATTGACAAGGGCGGGAAGCAGTTACCACAGTTTTGAACTCTTTTAAGAACAGGGCTTTTTCTGTATCCTTTTTTTAAAGAAGAATATTAGCTGCAAATGTTTGAGCTTACAAGGTTTAGGAGTCAGGAAGCAACGAATTCAGTGGCTGGCACTTTAGAGCTTTTTCTGTGCTCTTGTCTAAACTGTTGTTTAGGCTGTCACACACACACACACACACACACACACACACACACACACACTTTATATGTATATATACTTTTTTTTTCAGAAGCTTTGAGTTTTACCCCTGCACTTATTTTGTCTACTGACTTTTCTAGTTAGAATGGTTACTCTTTCTCCAGAACAACATGACCAGAAAAAGATGTTTGCAACCTTGCCTTCTTCATTTTGACCTAGTAGTAAATTCTTCCCACACAGCTCTGACACGCCTTTCAATCCTGACTCATTGAGCTACCTGCTAAATCCTTCTGCATGGCTCTCCGTCTTGTACCTTTTCTTCCGCTGTTTAAAGCCTTACTTGCTCATGCTTCCCCATCACCAGTTCTGCCAAATACCTCACTTCTGACCTCCAAATGTCTCTATTATTCCTCTCCTTTCCACAGGGAACTACCAGTTTTAGACAATTCTTGAAGGCATTCTTTCTTTCTCTCACACACACAGCTTTTCTAATTCACATCTCTGATCCAAACATCCTTTGCTTTCCCAATTCTCAGCTACACCACTCCACATGTATGTCAGTTTCATATGGTTCATAGGTTAGATCTCAGTTTTTGAAATCCTGGATTACAATACATCCTTGCCTAAGCACAATAATATGAAGCAGGTCTATAATTTACTATTTTCCTGCCACTTTCTATCTTCCTTTCCACCCCGTTTTCTGCTAATGTATAGTAGCTAATGACCAGCCAAGTTGATCACAAGTAGGAGCCAGGCTCCTGCCAGTCCATCTTGTCAGACAAACTGATGCTCCAGGATGACATGCAGAACAAGACCCAAAATCGATATGTCTCGCCCCATCTTCCATAGCCTTGTCAATTCATCCAGTCCTCTTGGCTCTTGCTGGGTTATCACTGTGTTCTTTCTTGAAGGTCAGTATTGTTTTCTCACTGTTCTGGGGCATACTCTCACCCATTCTCTGACACACACAGCATACAAAGAGAGCATTTGATTCTCAATTCTTCTCCCCAGTTTTATTTCATATACCACTGGACTAAGACGGTTAGTAGGGCTGTGCAAGGCTTTGGACAGAGCTTCGGATCCGGAGAAGCTTTGGATCCGCTTCGGGGTCTGCAGCAGCACATCCGAGTCAAAGCGTTGCCTAGTTCGGCTTCCTGGAGCGCTTCAGAGCTGCCTCAGAGATCGGCCATAGGGTATAAGGGGGAATCAATAAAATATCTATAACTTTGTTGTTTTTTGTCCAATTTGGATGAAATTTTCAGGTATGGTAGACTTTGCAGAAAGGATGAAGCCTGTTAAGTTTCGAGAAGATCAGTGCAGGGGTTTGGGGGGGGAACAGCACCCCAAATTCTTGAAAGCAAAACTGTCACGTCTATGTGTTACAACATGGTGGTGAAAACTGCAGGGATGGCAGCTCTTAGTGAGGCCACAAAGCCTGCAAAGTTTCAAGGAGATCAGTGCAGCGGTTTGGGGGGAACTGCCCCTCAAGCTGTGGACAAGCAAAACTGGTGCCATGGGTGCTGTGGGACTGACTGTGACTGTCTTGGGGCGGGGAGGGGAGACTGCTGCAGGCCTGGCTGCTGAGCTGCTGTGTTACCAGTTACCGATCAATGAATCATGATTCACTCAGGGACCAGGGACTCCGGGACCAGCTCAATACACAGGACCTGCAACTACATAAGGACTTAACAAGCATCAGTTAGCACCTACAAAACTAGGCTAAGGAGAGGAAAGAATCAATACAGACAATCAAGTGCCCCAGGACAGACAGTCTTGGCACAAGTTTTGTCTGTCAGCAGCTAGGGGTGCAGGCCCCAGGACCCCCCTGCACCGATCTCCTCCACAGTTGGCAAGCGTCACAGTAGGGGCCACCACCCCTGCAGCTGTCACTCCACTGCGCCTTAACACATGCAGGGTCACCCATGGCACGAGTCTTGCTTGTCCACAGCTTGAGGTGCAGTTCCCCCCAAACCTCTGCACTGATCTTCTTGAAACTTGGCAGGCTTTGTGGCCTCAGTAAGAGGTACCAGCCCTGCAGTTTTCACCCCCCTGTAGTGTAACAGACGTGACATGAGTTTGGTTTTCAAGAATTTGGGGTACAGTTCCCCCCCAAACCCCTGCACTGATCTTCTTGAAACTTGGCAGGTTTCATGCCCTCAGGAGAGGCTACTACCCCTGCAAGTTTCATCCAAATCAGACAAAAAACAACAAAGTTATATTTCATTGATTCCCCATTATACCCTATGGCCAGATCTCCAGGACGGCTCCGAAACTTCAGACCCACTTTCGCCGGATTGAGGCTGACACCCAGTCCAGAGCTCCAGATCAGATCACTGCCATCTGAAGCGGCCAGACCTGAAGCTAGATTGGATCGCTGCCGACTCGCACAGGCCTAACGGTTAGCAATAGACACCAGTCCAATTCACTTAGAATCCAAAGTATTTTTTTTTCTTTCCCAGTTATAAATACATAAGTTGACCATCAATTTCCCATAAAAATGAGTTGCCAGTCTTTTCTTTCTGTATTTTCTCCTGCATTTGTTGAATGGCTTCCTTCATTGCTGTTCTTTGTTTCAAAAATTAGAACAACTTTCCCGTCCAAACTGGATGGAAAGTGTCCCAGTCTGAGATCCACAGACAAATTCAGTTTTTAGATGGAGTATTACCAATGATGTTTATCACATCTTTATGATATTCATATGCATTTAAACTTTTCACAGCTTAAACAAAACCAACCAACTAAACAAAAAACAGACACACAACAGGACAAACAACACAAATCAGACAGACAAAATAATTTTTTCTGTGGTGATAAAACTGTAGCTTAGGTGAAGAAAATGCTGTTGATGGTAATGAGGCTTTGTAGTCTTTCAGTCATCTTTGCTGCTAGATTTAATTTTATGCTATAGCTTCTGCAAAAGAAAACAAATACACACAAACCTGCCAAGGAAAACTCCTTGCTGTAAAATATTATTCATATTTACAAATTTACAATGCTGACGTTCAGTAACAATGCACATATTATTACAATTATTGGGGTGTTTTTCTTGCGTGTGTGTGTGTGTGTGTGTGTGTGTGTGTATTACACACACACACACACACACACACACATATATATATATATATATATATAAAGTGACAAGGATTATTTACATTTATTTTACTATTTTCAATGGTTCATTGCACCATTTTGGCAATTGGAATCCAGACCTTTACAAAAAGTTTTCCAAATGTGAGATCAAGGGATGCTAATACCCTTGTTACACTTTAAACCAAATTGCCTTTTTAAAAATATTTTTTTCCTTTTAGAGGGACAGCTTTCCCCTCAGAATTGTTATTTAAAAAGTTTTTTTCCATATCTTTATTGCTGGGACATTACAAAATCTTTAAGGTATTTGGATAAAACAATACTATTGTTCCCATGAATATCAGTTCCAAATTATACCAGCACTTCTGTGCTAAGGAAATAACTAACGTATTATATTAGCCACATTCAGTATTAAAAATAATTTTACCCCACCTGCTATAGCTGCTGGAACTTGAAAGTATTTTGCTATACCAGGAGCTACAACAGGTGTTACTGTTAAAGCTCTGAAGTTTATTGTCAGTTTTCAGGTTTTCTTGTTTGCCCTCAAGACAGACCAAAATTGGGGAGCTATACATATTAAACATCTATACTGTCATTTCCCAGTTTAAACAATCTATTATAACTTTTAGTAGATAGTTTATTTCAGCCTCTAGTGAATATTTACACTGCCTTTGTGGGGGGAAAGTTTGATTTCTCATTTAAAACACATGCCTGTATCCTGCCACATTTAATTCTTTCTGACTGTGCCTTAAGAAATGCCTTCATTTACTTGTCTTGATTAACTCTATCAATTACAGTAGGAGCCTGAATAGCTGACACTGTGTTTTTAGAACCATCTTTTTTTTGTCTTAACAAGTGGTTACCACTTTCCTCTCCAAAAGATTCACACTATTTCTGAAGAGTGCTGGGAGGTAAAAAACAAAACAGTTCTCACCCCCTTTACCAGTGAGATTGCAGATACTTATTTCCAGCAGTTTTGCTGCCTTGTAAGACACACACAGAGCAAACGTACCACACTGCTCACACTCTGTTTTGCACCAACACCTTAACAGTCTTTGCAAAGCCACTCACTCATTAGACTCCTTAGTCTCTGCTTCTGTTACAAACATTCACAGTTTCCAGCACAGGGGTTAATTTTTTTTGCTACTGACTTTTGGGACCAGCAATAGAAGGTATTTTACTTAACCACTTCAGACACTCTCTGAGATCAAGTTACAACTTTCTTTCAAGGTTGCTATATTCCTTTCTGCTATAAAGCAATTATTTCTAAAATTTCATTCTCATTCTCTCCTCCGCTGTCCTCTCAATGTGGCACTAAGGTGTATTTCTGCCACACATCTCTTTTCCTTGGTCTTCACCAAGGGTTTTCCTGTTGAGGTATGCTCCCCCTAGCCTTTTCCCAATGAAGGGTAACCCACAAGGCAGTGGGAGCTAGGGTTTTAAGGTGC